ATGGGTGAGCTATGAGTTAATAGTTAATTCAGAAAGTTGGAAAAGCTACATGCAGATAATGGAACATAGACTGAGACTCCCTTGCTCATTTACGTGGTTGATGCCTGTGGGTTATTTGGCCTGGCCCACCATTAATGAGACTCCCCCACAGCCACACTGGTAACCTCTGAGAATTGTGACATCCTCTCACAATAGAAGTAACTTCAAAATCCTAGGATGTCAGACCTAGAAAGACCTTGGAGTTTATCAGGGTCAACCCTCTCATTTTACAAATAAGTTAACTGACTTATAGAAAGAGGAAATAACTTGCCCAAGGTCATAGAGGTAGTTAGTGGCCAATCGGTTTTCAGACCTAGATCTTCTATTTCCTGGTGTCTTCCACTGCATCAGGCTGTCTCCTCCATATTTGCAAAGTTTCTTAATCAGGGAATTAAAAGGTTTGACTGGCAGGTCTTTCTAGCCCAAAGGAAGGAAGACAGGAAGGAATCTTTATGGCACACATGTACTTTTAGTTAATGTGAATTAAAATTAAGTTTGAAAACTAATGTTTTTATAGGTCTTCTGCCACCACCCCCTGCCCACTTGCTATAAATCAGGATTTTAATTCCTGTATATTAGAGGGCAGGCACCAGATATCTCTAAATCATAGGGGATAACCTGAATAGACAGCACACAGAGGAGGCTTTAACAAAAAGATTTGGAAGATAATTTTGTTAATCACCATATTGCACTGTTTTAAAGATTTAGAGCAAGCTCAGAAACACTGCCCTCCTTCCTCCCCTTGACCCCATTCCACTCACAAGTGGAAAACAAACATGCTAAGGATGAAGTCCTCATTTTTGCAAAGTTGACTTTTTGATGGCCAATCTCTTGGGCCTGTGGAGTGAAAAAAAATGTTTCTGGTGCCAAAGACCTTAATTAATTTGCTCTTGTTAAATTCCAATAACTTGACCCACTGGAGCAGAGAACGTCCCATTTGTTTTCCGCGAGGCTCCGTCAGCTCCTCTGCTGGGGCAGACAGCGTTGTGAGAGATGACGAAGGAGAGACAGGAGGAACAGGGCATTCGGTGTAATCGGATCTTCTCACTGAGGGGACACGGGTGAGGGCACCCAAGGCCTTCCAGCAGACCCTCAATGATGGGAGGACGCGGGGTCAGGCCTCTAGGCCGTGACTGGATTCGGCAAACCTTTGTTGAGTGCCTACTGTGTCAGGTGCCTCCTAGCCTGGTCCCTGGTACTCAGGAGCACCTGCTCCTTTACACACACCGTCTTATCCAGTCCTCTCAACAACTCTGAAGATGGGGGTCTTGTTCCATCTCACAGAGAAGAAAGGGGAAGCCAAGTCTTTTGCCGGGACCCTGGAAACTCTGCCATGGGGGACCTTGTACCCACTGGTGTGCATCTCGTCTCCCTCTTCCTGAGCTATTCTTTGGGGACCAAGAGGCTGGCCCTGGACTCAGATATGGAGTGTCCCGCAAGGACCCGGCAGAGGTAAGCCAGGCCTGCCTGCTGGAGGCCATGGTTCCCGCACTGTGTTCCTCGGAGTGAATCTGGGGCCAGGTGTGCTCACTGGTCATCCTGTCAGTCTGAATATCCAGTTGAGCCTAAACATGAAGATTCCTCTGGTAGGCGTCGCAGGCTCCACCTGCTTCCCCCTTCCAGAGAACCCCTGAAAAGCTGATCCCCTGGAACCACTTGTGCACTGCTGTGTGTTTTTCCTCAACTGGCCAGCACACTGCAGAGCAGCAGAGAACTTGGCCCTCAAAACCACCATCGTCACAACCACCGTGAGAATCTGTGCATTTCAGTGACTGCCGGTCAGCACCCTCTCCCTTCTCCAGGTCACATATTACTGTCTCCCAGGATTTTCTCCTGTGGGTGGCCTCTTTCAGAAAAACACTCACTGGAGAGGCCCGCTCGGCTGCCCAACTCAGCGTAAGAAATCCTTCAGTTTCAGAGTTTCACCCTCTGAAAAGTAAGAAGAATCATCCTTGCCCCAGGAGACATGATATGACACTGAATCAGCTCCAGTTATAGCCGACGTAATGACAGAACAGTCTAGACTTTTTAAAGACAAGATAGTCTAAATATGAGTGTATCTGACCGCTCCGGGATGGCACCCAAAGCAGGCAGGGTCCCTCTGCGTTCCTCTTCATTCAGTGGCTGTCTCCAAGCAGTCTCTGGTGGTCAGAGCAGAATGGAGAGACCGTGGTGTGGCTGCGCATCTGGGAAATTATGTTTTCCTCAAGGCTTAGAAGGAAGGAAAACAATGTGGAAACTCTCAATATAGACCCCTCTCTGCTCCTCCCAGAAACTGAGTGACTGCATGCGACATGGACATAAGAAGAGAAAAAAAAAAACGAGAGAGAGAGAGGAGTGGACCAGGTGGCGGCAGGCAGATAGAGAGGAGCCGAGAGACAGAGGGTGAGAAGGTGCCGCAGAGCCCTACTTAGGAGGAGCTACTATGAGCAGGAGAGACCAGGGCACCAGGCAGGCCAGAATGGGGTGCAGGGTGGCTCAGAGCCACAGGGAGCAGAGCAGGGCTGTTTGTGAGGCTCCTCCTGTAAGTGGGCCCAGGTGCCCAAAGTGGCAGGTGGCATCTACAGGTATCCCATCAGTGACAGCATGGGACTCCTCTCTTTGATGCAAGAAGGCTGATAAAGGGAGCACTGGACTGCCACTCAGGGGACCTTCTAATCCCAGATAAGCGACCTTGAGCAGGTCATTTCCCTTCTCTGGGCCCCAGCTCTCTCAGCTGCAGAGCCTGGGTGCTGGACTGGATGACTGTGTAATCTCTTCTATGTTCAGTTCTCTCAGCCCCCAGATCTATGGAGCCTGAGTGGTAGATGGTATTTATGTTCCCCTCGCTCGCCCACACTCCCACCTGGGAAGGAGGAGGATACTTCCCTGCCCCACCACCTCTTTCCTGTAAGGCTTGTTGGTCACTTGCATTGGCCAATGTCTGTGGGTAGGACGCGCAGTGTTCCAGCACTGAGCAGCTTTGAGAAACATCGCACGGGTCAAACCATCCTCTTGCGCTCCTGCACTTGGCTAGGAGAAGAACACACTCCGTGTCATCACCGCTCCGCAGCCTGGGTCCCAGCACGAAGAGACCCTCAGAGCAGGCCCAAACCCAGTGCACAGTCAGTCGCTAAGCCCCGCCAAGCCCAGCAGGGACACAGGCATCTCGTGGACCCATGCATGGGAAATAAATGCTTGTTGTAAGGCCCTGCAATTTTGGAGTTGTTTGTTACTGCAGCCAAAGCTGACTGGTAGACCACGTGACAGGTAAGCATGTCTCACAGAAGCTCACATCAGGGACAGCTCAAAAGCCTGCCTGAAGGAGAATGAAGGGCAGCTGGAGGGCCCCCACGGGAAGGCCCTCCACTGCTTCCCCTCCATGCCAGAGCCCTCCACCTCCATATGGAGACACACCTGGTTTTTGGCATCAACAAACCAGGGCTCAGCAGGAGTAGGAAGGGAGTTTTGTGGAGGAGGGAACTAAATGAGAACGCCTCAAGTCATATTTCTCCTGTGTACAGTCCTCTCTCTTCCGCAGCCCTCCAAACCTGGGCAGTCTGTGTCACTGCCTGCATGCCATAATCAAGTCTCCGGAACTGGGGGGTGATGTATTGGTTTCGCTAGCATGGAGAGGGAGCAAGGTGCTTAGACAAGTTTACAAGTTCCAGCATCACTGGTCTCTGGCTACTGTAATCAGTCTGCAAGTCTCCAACCTCTCTGGTTGTAATATTTCAGGACCCCAGAGAAACTCATTAATATCATCCCAGCTGAATTCTAGTTAATAGCTGTTTTTCCGCCAAACAAAGCAATGTAGCATTTTGGTATAGCACACAAACTAACACCCAGAGAAGACAGCTGTGGCGTTCTGATGCTGTCGGCACGATGGCCTGGGGGTAACCTGAGCCCCCCAGGTCAGGATGTGCAGCCCGGGCTTCAGCATGCTTCCTGTCACTCAGAGAGAACCAGGACCACCCCCACCTCCTCAGTCACTCCCACGAAGACTTCAGGGTTGACAGCCACCATTATTTGTTGGGAAAAACAAAAGACCCTGCCCTCCACCACCCAACCTTACATGATGGAAGAGAGGGGAACACAGATTTGGGATAAGCAGGGACCCTAGCAGTGGGGCTCCAACATTTGTCTAAAACACCGAGGCCTTTTAAACAGAATCGTACCTGAAACGGAAACGTATGTAAATAGACAGAAGCACAGAAGCTCAGGGTGGCGCGGCGGGGGAGACTCAGAGCCCGTCTGGGCAGTATTCCATTTCTCCCTCCTGAAGCCGCGGAGGAAGCCCGGGGCTATGCCAGTTTGTAAACAACTAGACTAGAGAAACCTTGGGCATTGGGATAGGCTTATGGAAAGCTGGAAAGGAGGCAGGCATCCTCGACACTGTGTCTGGGCATTCTGCTGCAAGGGAACGGGGTTACATGTGCAGGCATCCCTGGGCTGGCTTGGCAGCCACAGGGTACACAACAGAGAAGCTTTCCCCATCTGGCTTGAGGCAGACAGACGGACCGACTGACTTTCCACAAGCCTCCTTGTCCTTATTTTCAACCAGGCAAGACAGATGTGGGAAAGATTTAGGTCTTCCTCTCTTCCCTGCTACCCCCTCCTCCCCACTGGCCTCTCCAGTTGAAGCCACGGACCCCTCCTGACCTCACAGGTCTCAAGGCTGGTGCCTTCGCAGCTTTGACCTTCTAGAGCAGTGGTTCTCAGCTTTCCTGATGCCGCGACCCTTTAATACAGTTCCTCATGTTGCGACCCCCAACCATAAAATTATTTTCATTGCTACTTCTTAACTATAAATTTGCTACTGTTATGTCTTAGGCGACCCCTGTGAAAGGGTCATTCAACCCCCAAAGAGGTCGCACCCCACAGGTTGAGAACCGCTGTTCTAGAGGGTGGGTCCTGAGGGATGTGTCTAACTCACCGTCATGTGGCTTCCCCTTTCCCATGGAGACAGCCCCCAGACTCACCTATGCACACCACGTCCATGAATCCATACATCCCGTAGCAGATCTGGAAGAGGAGGTCTTGGCGTTGCCATTTTGCCGAGGGACTGAAGGTCGACCAGATGAGCCAAGAGATGCTGGCAATGAGGAAGAGGGATCCCAGGATGGCGGCGGCGATCTGAACCTTCTCAATAACCGTCAGAGAGATGGCCTGCCACTGCGGAGGAGAGCGGCGGTCACCCGTTGCACCTCCCCCTTCCCTCTTCCTCCCCTCGCCCCAGGCTCTCGCCTCTGGTGTAGGATTTAAACCAGGGCTTTCCAGCCAGCGATACAATGGATATTTTTGCAAGTTTCTGAGTTTTACGTCGTACGTCTGCTGTGGAGGAAATCTATATCACAGCAAATGACCCCAAGTTATTGTAGGGATGGGGGTGTGGGCAGGCAGGGCTGGAAGGAAGGCCCTTGTGGTTGGTTATGATGCAGACACAGAAAGGGGAAGGAGGAAGTGAAACTGCAGAGCTCATGTGGGTGGCATTCTAGGGCCCAGAATATTCCTTTCAGAGAAACACTGTTTATTTTCACTAATTGGTGCTGAGAGGACAAAGGCCATTTTTATTTTTCTACAACAACATCTGGCATGCCATTTATTCATTTTATTATTATTTTTTTTAATCCTCACCCAAAGATATTTTTTTCATTGATTTTTAGATAGAGTGGAAGGGAGGGAGGGAGAGAGAGAGAAAAAAAAAACACATCGATGTGAGAGAGACACATGGATTGGTTGCCTCCTGCATGACCCCACCAGGGTGTGGGATCAAACCTGCAAACCAGGTAGGTGCCCTTGACCAGAATCAAACCCTCAACCCTTTGGTCCTCAGGCCATTGCTCCAACTGCTAAGCCAAACCAGCCAGGGCCTGGCATACCATTTAATATACATGCTAGAGATTACCAATTCAACAGACAAGGAGAAGGCAGAGGATGTGGGGGAGAGATAAGAAAAACAGTGTAATCTACTGACTATATAGGAACACTGACATTTCATTTTTTAAAACAGAAAAGGTATTATACTGATAGTAGTATTGATGGATGGGTTGAAGGCTAAGAGGTGGGTGAGTTTCAACTCTGAAATTATGCTATTCTATGGCAGACCTGGGTAGCAGAGGCCTAAATGAGCCTGGAGTTGGATTTTAGTTTGGGATATTTTTCACACTGTCAGTCAATAAATATGTAGTGAGTATTCTCTGTGTGCCAGTCACTTTGCTAGGTGCTGAGGACAAAATAGTAAGCAAAATCATGCAAGATTTCTGCTGTCGTGGAGCTTACAATCTGGAAAACCCAGACAACCGAAAAATTACATATGTAATTCATCAGGAGTAAGAGAGAGAGGTACATGGCACCGCGGACGTCTATAAAATGGGGATTTGACTTTCCGGAAATGCTTGAGTTGAGTAGGCGTTTACAAGGGAAAGAGGAGAGGCGAGGGCTCCAGGCGGAGGGAAGAACACGTGCAAAGGCCCTGTGAGTATGGAAACCTGGAAGAGGACGAGAGTGAGTGGAGCCGAGAGAGCAGAGACAGCTGGAAATACAAGGGCAGACTGTGGAATGTTGAAGAATATGCACAGATTTTTACTTCGTCCTACGAGTAAATATGATGCTCTTGAACAGTTTTAAGCAGGGAGATTGGACACCTTCGTAAGGATCAGGTTTGGGAAGGTGGAGGAAGGACAATCTCCTGACAGTGGGAATTTGCATAACACACTGCAGAGAAGACCCCAGGAGGGCATTTCAGCCTGAACTGGAGGAAAGGCAGGCCACCTTCCATCTGCCAACAGTGAGCCCCCACTATTTATTAAAAGAGTAAAAAAAAAAGAAATGCCCTGGATGGGAGCACTGATTCTGGCTCCAGCTGGACTGACCAATGGCCCCCAAGGAATTGTAACCATTGGAAAACATTTTGCTGGCTAGTCTAGATGTAGGACATCAGCCTTCACATTTAATTGTACAGATAGTGTCCCATTACAGGTAATTGGGTCTTTAAATTTTCCACTGCTGGCCCCAGCCTAGGGTTACACATAACAAGGGAATTCTCCAGAAGATGGCCCGATCCTACAGACTTTGCTCATGTTACAACAAATGCTTTTCCCAGAGTCTGCCCCGCTGTCTATGAAGAGGGTTCCTCAGTGGGCTTTCTGTTTCTGCCATTAAGTCGTCAATAACCCTCACCTGTTCCTGCTCCAAACTTTAAAAATCCCAAATCTGGAGGCACAGAAAGTTCTCCTTAATTCCTAAAGCCCCTTCTTACCGTCCCCCTTGCCACCTATGGAAACTAAACAGGGCCCCCGACTACAGTCTGAGCATGATGAAAACGCAGCGGTGGGCATGCCAGCCACAAGGCCATCCTCCTGTCTGTCCCACATGAGGCCCCCCAAGAGGTACCAGCAGGGTGGACATGCCATCCACAGGCCATCCTGTCTGTCCCACGTGAGGCTCCCCGAGAGGTGCCAGCAGGGTGGACATGCCATCCACAAGGCCATCCTCCTGTCTGTCCCATGTGAGGGCCCCCAGGAGGTGCCAGCAGGGTGGACATGCCATCCACAAGGCCATCCTCCTGTCTGTCCCATGTGAGGCCCCCCAGGAGGTGCCAGCAGGGTGGACATGCCATCCACAAGGCCATCCTGTCTGTCCCACGTGAGGCCCCCCGAGAGGTGCCAGCAGGGTGGACATGCCATCCACAAGGCCATCCTGTCTGTCCCACGTGAGGCCCCCCGAGAGGTGCCAGCAGGGTGGGCATGCCAGCCACAAGGCCATCCTGTCTGTCCCACGTGAGGCTCCCCCGGGAGCAGCCGCGCAAGGACAAAGCAGAGAACAAGTGCCTCTGTCGTCTGGGAGAGAGGCTGGCGGGGGGAGAAGGGCTCCTGAGGTTCTGGGCTCTGCCACCCCCCCACGCCCCCACCCCCGACACCTGCAGCTTCGCTCCGAGCGGGATCCTGGATGCAGTACCGCGAGATCCTGCGCGCCCGGCCGGTTCAGCCCCGCGAACACACGCGCAGAGCGGGAAGACGCCCGCCTGCTGCTTCCTTCCCTGTGACCAGGGGCAGAGAGCACGGCCGGTGACCCAGGTCTACCGAGCTCCGCCCCCACTGCAGAGTGTGACCTCGGAGAGGTCAATAAATCGTAAAGACCCTCAAGTTTGCCTTTTGTAAAAGTGGGAATAATTGGTCCCACTTCCTAGAGTATTATGAGGGTTAAAAGAGATAACTCTTTAATCGGTGCTTTGAAGGGTGTGGACTGCCATCATTTCCATTCTTCGTTATGTTTCAGCAAAAATACAGTTGTGCATGTCGAGGTGGGGTCTTCCTCGGGGTAAACGTACTCAGCACTCAGTGCTGAGCGCTACAGGGTCGAGGTGAAGGGCCAGACCCAGGGGTTAGAGCCCTCGGATGCAAACCTGCTCCACCAGGTGACCCTGAGCAAATTGCCCACCTTCTGTGCCTCCCTTGTCTCATCTGTAAACTGGGACTAATAACAGTCCCCACTGCGTTGGGTTGTTTTTAGTATTAAATGGGATAATGTATATACATACTTAGAACAGTGGCTGGCCCCCAGTGAGCACCAACTAAACAGTAACGTAATTGCAGTTCGGGTGTAGCAGAGAGGGTAAGAAACCGCTACAAGACCATGGGCCACCCTGAAACTCCTTTCTCGGCGGCTCTTCTGCTAGAACCAGAGCTTGCAGAGGGTCACTGAGGAATGTACTGCCATGACCACTGCTTCTTACAACCTTGTGTGGGGCCTGGAAGGAACCTCCCCAAGCGAACAGAGGTGGCCCCGGGCACCCACCATTACTCCGCTAGCTCGCGGTGGGGCCTGCCCTCTCTGTCCTGTACGGCAGGTGGTCTGCCGGGGCCGGGAGCACCAGTTCCTCCACCCAGGCTTAATAGGCAGCTGTCCCACACCTGGCTGGGCCCAAGGAGCCCAGGCACACAGTGGGACAATTTGGGCCACAACTACACACCAGTAGCTGCTAGTCCAGACCACTTCCTTCTTCTGATGCTGTCTGGAAAAATGACATGGCGTTTTCTAAGCACACACCACTGCATTGCCAAAGGCAACAGAGTCACGGCACTGACCTAACAATAAATTAATAGATCAAATTCCACTCTATCAGTACTGCTATTTGCTTACAGTACTTATGAGATTAGAATACCCTCTCTCCCCCAAGGAAAAGAGTTAGTCCTAAATGGTTTTTCACTTTCTGAGTCCAAGACCAATGCCTGTGTTGGAGCCAAAGGGGGACTTTGGTTTGGACTCTGACCCTTCTTCTCCAAGGCTGGACTCAGCGGAGAAGGAAGGGGAGAGGTAATGCACTCAGGGCATGCAATCAGCTGTATAACGATGCTGCTATTTTAAGACACTACTACACTTGAAATGAATGACTGAAAATGCAAGGACCCAGCACAGGGAGAGGCACTTCTTGTTCTGACCCCTTGTTCCACCATCAGGATAGTTGAGGTGCCTGGGGCTTTTAATGTCTCCTTCCACAAAAATACTCCCCTGGTCCACATGCATGTATTGCGCATGCATGCTCTCTCGCGCTCGCGTGCGCTCTCTCTCTCTCTCTCTCTCTCTCTCTCTCTCTCTCTCGCACACACACACACACACACACACACACTCTTTCCTGGTAGTGCCCCACATAAATCTGCATAGTGTCTAAAATAGCCCTGGCCGGTTTGGCTCTGGTTAGAGCGTTGGCCTGCGGTCCAGAGAGACCCAAGTTCGGTTCTGCTAAGGGCACATACCGCGGTTGCAGTTTGTCCCCGGCCCTGGTTGGTTGTGCAGGTGGCAGCCACTCAATGTGTCCCTTTCACATCGATGTTTCTCTCTCTCTCTCTCTCTCTCTCTCTCTCCGTCTCTCTCCCTCCCACTCTATCTGAACAAAAAATGGAAAAATGTCCTAGGGTGAGGATTAAAAGAAAAAAATCTGCATAGTGTCTAAAATAAAATGCCCAGGACACTGCAGCTCCCTGCACCCCACCCCCACAAGCAGAGACCTCACCCCACTATCACCACCAGACCACCGGCCCCCCTGGGCTTGCCTTCCCCTCGGGGAGGAGGGGTGTGCAGGCCGCTCAGGTTCCCATCCTCACTAGCCTGCTGGCTCATTGTGTGGCAGCCTAACTGGCTGACCATGCACGTGTGGAGGTCTTTTCAGAAGTGTTCTCGATCTGTGCGTGCCTCAAAGGGAAAGCCGTTTGAGTTGGAGGATTTACGAGGTGGGACAGAGGCTGCTGGCTCCTCTGGGATGATGGATGTGTCAGGGCAGGGTTGGGGGACAGGGTAGGAGGACCTCTCAGTTCTCACAGGTCCAGCCCTGTCCTTGCCTTTGCCCTTCACAGTAACCTCTCCCCTTTTCTTCCCCCCTTATTGCCCATTCTTCTCCTGTTCTCTGCTTCCCTCCCTTGTCTCTTCTCCATTCTTCTCTGGTCCCTTGTCGCAAGAAATGTGATTTGTGGACCAGCAGCATCCGTTTCACTCCCATCAACCAACCGATAGCTGATCAGAAATGCAGAATCTCAGGCCCCTCCCCAGACTCCTGAATCGTGTCTGCATTGTGACAAGATTCCAGGTGAACTGCATGGACATTACAGTGTGGGAAGTGCCGCTAGGACTCCTCTCTCCTCGTTTCTTCTTTTCCCACCCTTGGCTTTATCTCAGTCTTTCTCCCCACCCTTCCCATCCTGCTATTTCCATCCTGCTCTCTTCTGCCCTCTGGTCTTCCTTCCTTCCTCGCTTTCTGTCCTTGTCCTTCCTCTGTCCTTTCCTGTCTGCTTTCACCCACCACCCACCTGTCCATCACTCATTCTTTTCCACACTCTGCACGTCTTTCCTTCCAGTTCTAGTCCTCCCTTTCGCCTCATTCCTTTCTCCTCTTCTTGCCGAGGCTTAAAAAACCCACCAAAGTTCTTTCATTTCCTCCTGCCCAAATGCCGTCTGCGGTCTGGCCCACCTCGCCCACCTCATTCCTTTCCTGCGAACTGCCAGGAAAGCAGTGGGGGGGGGGGAAGCCCAGGCCCCAGCACCCCAGCACCCAGCACCCCAGCCAGCAGGCAGCCCTGGTTGTACCTGCAGAGGATTCTTTGTGCTTATGGCAATGACGTGGTACTTGTAGTAGCAGAGCTCACAGCTCCAGCAGCCCCTCTCGCTGATCCACTTGATGAGGCAAGGCTGGTGGGTGCACTTGACGGAGCCATCACAGCGGCACGGGCTCAGCAGCTCCCCCTGCAGGGAGAGAGGCACAGGGTTGTGAGGCCCAGAATTTGGCTGGCAGGCAGGTGGGTGGGCAGGCCATAGGCTGGGTAGGCCAGACCACGCCACTGAAGCCAGGCCACGGGCACCTGACCCCACAGAGGAGAACTGGGCTCCAGCCTCCCCACCGTGGAGCCAGGCAACTTCAGTGAGCTCAACTAACAGTTCTAAGCCCCAAGTCTGACTTGGTGCTGTCCAAGTCCTAGGGTTTCTGTGAAAATGAGTGACTTGACTTTTGTGGAAGCCTTCTTACCATCCAAAGAGGCCATCAGCCTCAGCTGGCTTCTCTTTAAAGGCTCAGCCAGGGGTCTCAAACTGCAACGCCCTCAGGGCCAGACAGGCAACACAAGTTTCAGAAGCCAGTTGGTGGGCAATGGGGCAAATTGGGGGGCCCAGACTCAAGTTAAAGGGACAGTCACCATCAGTCCCAGTCAACTTTAGACATGGGATTAATGTGGCAATTTTAATGTAAAATCTCCTATAGTTAAATATTAATAGCTAGTGCAGTTTTAAATAGATACTGTGGGGGTCACAGTATATTTTCCCGAGTTCAGAGCTCTGGTCCTGAGCCTTTGCACCCTGCTGCAGGCCAGCTCACAAAGACCCAGGTGCCTCTGGGCAGCCTCTCCACCGGGCTCTCAGAGATGGAAGCATGGCAGGTGGGGCAGGCCTGAGCCCGGGGCCGGCAGGTGGGGCCTGGGTCCCTCCGGGCGGCCGCAGGCCTCGCTGGGAGCAGCTGGGATGACCTGGCTGGGGACTGGAAGCAGGGAGGCACAGGCCCCACTCTGGTTTTCCAGTGTTCACAGGGCCCTCCCCACCCCCGTTATAGCACTTTACCCACTTGTCTCTGGGTCACTATGCTGTTACCCCTCCCAGGGACAATATCTTATTCATCTTTGCATCCTTAGCGCCTGTTACAGTGCCTGAAACAGACACTCCCCAACTCTGGCAGTGAAATGCATACATATCTGTTTGATGACAAGAGGTATTGTTCCTCTAGGTCCTAGGGTCTAGGACAAGGCTAGCTCTGGTTCCCGGTGGGCAGCGTGGCACCTGGAAGAGGAGTAGGGATGGCAGGAGATGCCCACACGACTGGGCCAAGAAGGACCAAGAGCCCTTGGTAGGGAGTAGCCGCTGCGTGTCTCCGGGAAAGAAACAGGAGCGGTGGGTGTGGGGAGAGATGCTGAGGGAGAGGCAAACCCTCATCATTCATGGCAGCGTTTCCTGGGCTCATTTATTCTAACAAGACGAGCTGGGTTTGATCAATCGGCTTGTTAAGCTGCCATGTCAAATCGCCGATCGGGTAAGAGACGTTACTCCTGGCCCCTGGCGGCAAAGGCTGAACTCCTGGCTGCCCAAGGCAGGGCAGGAAGGGCCGGGGCACACGTGGTAACCAGACCTGGGCTCTCTGGTGTGGCTCTGGATGTGGGACCCCCAGGGCTCACTGGAGCCCACGCCTAACCCAGCTTCAACATACTCATCTACGAAGGGGGACGTGAGCCGGTGCCGGTGCCTGGCATTGGGGCCGAGAGGTCAAAGGTGTGCAGCTGGCCTTCGAGCTGCTGGTGCCCCACTCTCCCTGCAGACTGGGCAACCCAAGAGGCGGGATAGGAGCTCTTCAGGCAGCGCGAACAGTAGAAAGCAAGGACACCAAAACTGCGAGAAAAGGTTAACTTTGATGAAGAAAGCAATCCAGAATTATAGAAGAAAATAAATCTGCAAAATAGCCGTTTTGACCTTGGCATCCACGCAAGTTTTGTATTTTATGGTTTAGTATATTTTTCTGTACATTGGGAGGAGAGCCATCATCTCTTTGTGTTTAGGGCTCTAAGAGGCCTTAACCCGGACCCTTCACAAGCTTCGACGCGTCAGACCTGGGTTTCTCAAGAACGAGAGAAGTGGAAATGAGCCAGCAGCCAGACGGATTCAGGTTAGACTTCGTGATGTTCTTGTGCAGGAAACTGTTAAAGGCTAAAGTGGTGGAACATGGAAACTGAGGTGGTAAACATCTCTCAATATAAGGGGGACCTCTATGGACGAGAATGGTTAAATGACCAAGTCATGGTCACTCAGCCAGCCAGTGGCGTGGCCAGAATGTAAAGCCGGGTCTTTCCAGCCTCAGACTCAGTTTCTTACCACACTACTCTGCTCCTTCCCCTTCTGTATCCTGACCCCTGCGGTCCCCCCCAAACCTGTGCCCATCGGTCTCCTTTCTGTCTCTCCTTTCCAGACCCCACTCCTCCCCAGCTCACTCAGGCCCCACCACCAAGATACAGACTTGTTTCCTCTTCCAGATCATCACCCACAGTTTGGCACTTAATTATTCTCTAATTGTTTCCTCTGGGATTTGGGCTGCTTCTGTGTACCCCCTAGAACTGGGCACATGGACGGGATGGGCACCAGGATGTGAGAGAGGACCAGCCCTTCTGACCCAGTTCCTGAGGCTCCAGCCTTTGGGCTTAGAGGATTATTGTGATCTTGTCTGTGGAGCTAAGCAAACGCCTCAGATCAAAGGGGCTTATTAAATGCAAAGGACTCCACACACTTCCTGATGATCTGCTTGGAGCTCCGGGGCCCAGGAACTGCCCTGGAAATGACTAAGGCGAGAAAAATCAGGCTTTCTCTAATCCCCAGGCCCCCACTGGACACAGCCTGGGGCAGGAGGGTTTGCATGCCTCTTCCCTGCTTACTGGCTGTGCAAACTTGGACAAGTTTCTTAACGTCTCTGAGGCTGCATCTCCTCCTTCCACGGTGGCAGTTCCTAGCCTCTGAAGGGTGCTGGAGGACTGAGTGAGATCAAGCACACAAAATTCTGGGCACGGTGCCTGGCACAAGTAAGTCGTCTTGTGAAAATATTACAGTTCGAACTCGCATTTCCCTGAGGACTTTAATTTCATAGTTTTTCTACTCTGATTCTCCTTGATTCTCCTGCTATCTAATAGGCAAGGAAGGGAGCCATGACTGAAGTAATAGGTCAACTGAGCCCCAGAGAGAGGTGGAGATTAAAGACTAAGAGTCTATACTTCCGAGGGGGGTAAGGAGTCAGAACGTGGACCTCCCGACTTCTGATCCAGGGTTGTCCTCTCTTACCACGAGGTCACTGAGAGTGACTGGGGGCCCCCGTCCCTGGGAATGCTGAACAGAAGAGCATGAGCCCGTGGATGGCTTGGGTGGGGTGGTGCCAGGGCAGGAGGCAGGACAAGGGGACCGAGCGCCCTTGGCCGTGGCTGAGCTGGAGGGCGGGAGGAGAGCAGGGTGGATTCTCCTTGCTGCCAGTGACATAGTAAGTGGCAGGTGCAAGGCTCCAGCCGTTTTTCCATTCACAGATTTCTTTCTGCTTATTTTGGGCTGGCTTCATCCCCCACCCCACCCCCGCCCCTCGATCTGAAAGGACTTGCTTCTGGAGTCCTTAGGTGCCCTGGTTGCCATGGCAGTGGCAGGTAAGCCCGAGACTCCCCCTCCCACCCACACAGACACCTGCATCCCTGCCACCGGGAAGGAAGAAAGCCCGTCTGACGGACAGAGGCGGCCCCAGGCCTGGGAGTGTGCCGTTTTCAGAGGCCCAAACAAGGAGCTGGTAGAAACTCCAGCCTTTGGGGGTAGCGTGATGATGAGTCTGGGCTCTAATCCGAACAGACTTGGGTGTATCCAGGCCTTTACAATCTTGTGTGTGACCCTGAGAAAGTTGCTTAACCTCTCTGGGTCTCATTCAGTCATTCTTTTATTCATTAAATATCGATCTGGTATGTTCTAAGTTCTGTTCTAGGAGTCAGGGATACAGCAGTGAATGGAATTGTCTGTCTGAGAGAGACAGAGAATAAAAAAGATAAGTAAATTGTAAGTGCCTAAGAGGAAAATAAGCAGAGAAAAGGGAAATGGAGTACCAGGGAGGTGGCGGGTTGAAATTTTAAATACAGCGGCTATGGAAGGCTTCATCAGATGGAGACATCTGAGTGAAGACCCGAGGAAGGTAAGGAAGCAAGCCATGCAGGTATCCAGGGACTGTGCATTCCAGGCCGAGGGAACATCCAGTGCAAAGGTCCTGAGGCAGAAGCATACTTTGCATGTCCTATGGACACCAAAGCAGCTGATGTTTCTGTGGTAGAGTGAATGAGGGGAAGAGGAGTAGGAGATAGATTCAGCGATGTAATGGGGGTCAAAAATGGCACTAGGTGAGGCTTGTGGGTTATTTACTGTGAATGAGATGGGAAATTATGAGAGTATTTTCAGCAAAGGATGTGACTTGATCTGGCCACATTTGATAGGATCACGTTGACTTTTGTACTGAAAATAGACTCAGAGGAAGTGAGGGCTGAGCAGGGACACAGAAGGCTGCTGCAGTAATGCAGGTGAGCAGTGATGGTGTTCTGGACCAGCTTGGTAGCAGCTCCTGAGTCTAGCTCTAGGACACGGATATGAAGACTTACCGATGGATTGCACACGATTAATGAGAAGACAAAGGTGCAGAATGCTGCTGATTTTTAGCTGAGCCATGAGAAGGATAGAGAGTTGTCTTCCATTGGGATGGGAAAGACTGAGGGAAGGGCAGGTTTTGGAGGGTAGATTGGAAGCTCAGCTGTGGACATGTCAACTTTGAGATGCTAATGAAATGTCTAAGTGGAGACATCACATAGAGACTGCAGTATACGTTAGTCAGTCGGGAGTTTAGGAAAGAGGTCCAGGCTAAGATACAAATCTGAGGGTCCTTGGCATACAGATGGTGTTTAAAGCCACAAACTTGGGTGAAATCACCAAAGGAGTGAGTGTAGGTGGGAAAGGAGAAATACCGGGGCTGCTCGCCCGAGGAGGCCAAGATGTCAGAGCTTGGGGAGGGGACAGAACCAGTGGAGGACACTGAGAGGGAAGGTCAGCGAGATGAGAAGAGAACATGATGTTCCAACAGCCAACAAAGACAAAGTGTTTCCAAAGAGAGGGAACGCTCTGCCCTGCCAGCCGAGGCTGATGATGCGTCA